CACTGTCCGCAGTAAACACTAATTGTTATTGGACAGTGACCGACTCGGAACTGGGCTAGGAGGCCTGTTCCGCACGATTGAGTTGTCACCATGCAATCTTTCTGTCTGGTCTACTCATTGCCCTGTGAAGCTCACGACCCTTATCCGAAGAATCCCAGCCATCGTACCAAAGCGCCAACAATCTTTTGTCGGCCAGGGATCGTAAACATTGGTATGTGCACGGTTCATCACGAACGAGTGCCTTCTGGACTGCGGTTTTTGCGAGGTAGTCAGCCAAATTGTGAATGACCACTCCACACACCTCTCCGACCATGAGGAGGTCCCAAACCCTTCTGACACCTTCTTCTAGCCCTTCTAATGCCTCTAGAGAGGACATCGAGTCAGTAAACAAGACCACCTCGTTGGGTGGCACAGCCCCACTACGTACTTTTCTTTCCACCCATTCCAGTGCCTGGAACATTGCCTCCTGTTCAGCCTCGCGGCAGCTTTTCCCGGCAGGGTCCCATGAGCTCGTCTCTTTCGGGGGTGCCAGAGAGTCGAATTACCGCCCCATACCCAGCTTTCACAGTGCCCTCAAGCGTCTGCGCAGAGCTGAGTAGATGGTGGTCACTCCAGCTGGATACGATGCGATAGTCTCTCTGGCTGCATAAGGTAGCCGTGTCGGATGACTCTGCCTTGTTACCACCCGGTCAAGTAGGCACTTCCGTATCGTCGGTATGCCTTGAGCGTCCATCGGGAAGAAAGAACTGGACGGGGAAAGAGCAGCTCCACCGGCAGATTCATCTCCCTGACCAGCCCACCCTCCAAATGCTTGAAGCAGGGCCGGTTTTTGAGACGTCTCCTGCCCTCCCAGTTGTCGACCTGACGTTTGATAGGGCTTTCCTGGAGGAGCCACGCATCTCGATTAATTAGCCGGTCGATCATTGTTTAAGATTATATAGCCTAAGAACGATAAATTACTGATTAGCAGTATATTTTGCTTGCAGAAGTCAAATTAATAGTAGATAGGCCCATATATTTAAGAAAAATTTAAAAAGAGTTCAAAAGACTATTTTGCAGTAAAGTAAATGAATGTATGACCGCGTGACTGTCTTTATGAGTTCTAACCATGTTAACCGTCATCTTTGCTTACCTCCCACGGAGTCTAACCAAACCCTTGTGGCTCATGAGCTTAACATACATGAAGATTAGAATGAGTGTGGCGTTTTTAAAATGAATTATGAAACATAGGCCTTCTGTAACTTGATTGCAGTCGATGAAGCATTTTCCCATTTCGCAGACTCGTAAAAAAGACCAATGCACGAAAGCAAGTGGGACATTATTAATGGTTAAGGCCACCTATTCTTTGTTTCGTAATATGATTATTAAGACCATAAAGTCGCACAATTTGTTTGTGAAATGTAAAGTTATCATATGTCTATGGGTGTCGTACCATAGAAGCAATTCCAACAATTTTATTACAATAGATTTTTTTTTGTTTTGTTTTTTTCAAAGACCAAAATACAGACAGCAATGACACCCTAAAGTACCAAGGACGTTATAGAGGTAAGTACAAGTTAATAATAATGCAAAAGAAAACTGAGGGTAGATATAACAGGAGATAAATACAAAGAGGGATAACGATGCATAAGAAAACAGAAGGTAGATATAACAGGAGATAAATACAAAGGGGAATAACAATGCAAAAGAAAACTGAGGGTATATATAACAGAAGATAAATACAAAGGGGGATAGCGATGCAAAAGAAAACAGAAGGTAGATATAACAGGAGATAAATACAAAGGGGGATAACGATGCAAAAGAAAACTGAGGGTAGATATAACAGGAGATAAATACAAAGGGGGATAACGATGCAAAAGAAAACAGAAGGTAGATATAACAAGAGATAAATACAAAGGGAGATAACGATGCAAAAGAAAACTGAGGGTCGATATAACAGGAGATAAATACAAAGGGGGATAACGATGCAAAAGAAAAGTGAAGGTAGATATAACAGGAGATAAATACAAAGGGGGATATCGATACAAAAGAAAAGTGAAGGTAGATATAACAGGAGATAAATACAAAAGGGGATAACGATGCAAAAGAAAAGTGAAGGTAGATATAACAGGAGATAAATACAAATGGGGATAACGATGCAAAACAAAACTGAAGGTAAATAAAACAGGAGATAAATACAAAGGGGGATAACGATGCAAAAGAAAAGTGAAGGTAGATATAACAGGAGATAAATACAAAGCGGGATAACGATGCAAAAGAAAACTGAGGGTAGATATAACAGGAGATAAATACAAAGGGGGATAACGATGCAAAAGAAAACAGAAGGTAGATATAACAGGAGATAAATACAAAGGGAGATAACGATGCAAAAGAAAAGTGAAGGTAGATATAACAGGAGATAAATACAAAGGGGGATAACGATGCAAAAGAAAAGTGAAGGTAGATATAACAGGAGATAAATACAAATGGGGATAACGATGCAAAAGAAAACAGAAGGTAGATATAACAGGAGATAAATACAAATGGGGATAACGATGCAAAAGAAAACAGAAGGTAGATATAACAGGAGATAAATACAAAGGGAGATAACGATGCAAAAGAAAACTGAGGGTAGATATAACAGAAGATAAATACAAAGGGGGATAACGACGCAAAAAAAATGAGGGTAGATATAACAGAAGATAAGTACAAAGGGGGATAACGATGCAAAAGAAAACAGAAGAAAGATATAACAGGAGATAAATACAAAAGGGGATAACGATGCAAAACAAAACTGAAGGTAAATAAAACAGGAGATAAATACAAAGGGGGATAACGATGCAAAAGAAAAGTGAAGGTAGATATAACAGGAGATAAATACAAAGCGGGATAACGATGCAAAAGAAAACTGAGGGTAGATATAACAGGAGATAAATACAAAGGGGGATAACGATGCAAAAGAAAACAGAAGGTAGATATAACAGGAGATAAATACAAAGGGAGATAACGATGCAAAAGAAAACTGAGGGTAGATATAACAGAAGATAAATACAAAGGGGGATAACGACGCAAAAAAAATGAGGGTAGATATAACAGAAGATAAGTACAAAGGGGGATAACGATGCAAAAGAAAACAGAAGAAAGATATAACAGGAGATAAATACAAAGGGGAATAACGATGCAAAAGAAAACTGAGGGTAGATATAACAGGAGATAAATACAAAGGGGGATAACAATGCAAAAGAAAACTGAGGGTAGATATAACAGGAGATAAATACAAAAGAGGATAACGATGCAAAAGAAAACAGAAGGTAGATATAACAGAAGATAAGTACAAAGGGGAATAACGATGCAAAAGAAAACAGAAGAAAGATATAACAGGAGATAAATACAAAGGGGAATAACGATGCAAAAGAAAACTGAGGGTAGATATGACAGGAGATAAATACAAAGGGGGATAACGATACAAAAGAAAACAGAAGGTAGATATAACAGGAGATAAATAGAAAGGGGGATAACGATGCAAAAGAAAACAGAAGGTAGATATAACAGAATTTGATACATAGCGAAAAAAAGACTGGCACTAAAGAAAAATAGATCTTCAGTTTAATAACAAACAACAATGGAAACTCAACTATAGCCTTTTTTTTTCTAATACACATAAAGAATGAAAATTGTTTTTAAAAAAAATTATAACTAGATCCTCTCATTTTTTTATATGACTTAATTTTTAATTAAATTATTTTTATTACTTGAATTTTTATTAAAGCATTTGTAAGTGTCCAGAGGCTTCCACAAAAATCTTCACTGGGCCTTTACTTACATATATCCGGTTATAATGGATGTAACATACTTTTTAAACATCTGTAACATATCTACACCATAACTAATCTATAAAATCACGCCCTTTATATTTATCCGGAGAGGTCAATAAGTTATCATGAAATGTCATGGGATCACTGTCTTTTCAGTATTTCACTATACAATGTTTTTTTTAATGTTATACCCTTCCTCTTTAAAAAAAAACAAATTAAGCCAAATTTTTTATTTCAGGTCGTCACGAAATAGGCCTATGTCCTGAGGTGGTAGCTTCACCGACCAAAGTTTTAAACTGCGAGAAAAAAATAAAACATAAGGAGTTCATTCCTTATAAGATGTTTTCAATGATGAACTTTCCAGAACATTACAGGGACATTGATTTGCTGCAGATTGTGCACATCATTGCTTTTTTGACTGTCAAAATCATTGTCAAGGGTGTAAGTCAAGATCGACCTCTGTTCGATGAATCCGGTCATCCGTATCCTCTTGCAGAATTCAGGGGAAGCGAAGAGTCTCATTTCGGTACAGGAAGAATCGGTACTATCTGGAGTTATTCGGAAAACGACGATAAGCCATGCCCTTGTTCAAAGTGCCAGAACTCGGGTAATCCAACCAAGGTCTGGGGTTTGATAAGAGTTATCACCGCTGTGCACGTTGTTTTTGACCAAAAGGAAGCAATTCGTTCCGAGTGTCTGTTCGGATTCGACAGCTTGGACGCTGTTCTCACTCTTTTGGAAGGCGTAGGCATGGAGAGGGCGGATAAAAATGACGACCGGTGTCATCTCTCGTGTGTCACTCACGATGTTTCATTGCTTCAAAAGATAAAACCCAAGTGGAGTAGTTATCCCATTTATCACAGCAATGTCTTGAAAAAGTTCACCGCTCTTGACGACAAGCTAGTCATAATCGTTGCCCACCCTCATGGGTGCCCCAAACAAGTGTCCATAGGTGACTGGACATACAGAGATGAGACTGGTGACAAGTCATCAGAAGGCCACCCTTATGTCAAGTATAACTACACAACAGCAACTTGCCAAGGGTCAAGTGGGGCTACTCTGTATATTCTGGGCCGAAAGTGGAAACTGTGGTACAACCAAATACACAGTGGCTATGATAGCAACAACAGGTTTAACTACAGCGGAACTGGCTGCGATTAGTACTAGGACAGATAGCTTTTTGTAGGCTTGCAAGAGGGTGATATGCCCCCCCCCCTTTTTCTTTTCTATTGAGCTTTTAGATATTGTAAGTTTCTGATATCAATTAATATTAGAATTATTCTTGAATAAATTTGTTTTATTTTCTTTCGAATAAGACGCTACATCACTAGCTGTACCTGTAGACCCTGGAACATGATCAGGACATCAAGCTTACCTCGTGACAACCTAAAGGAAATCTTCCATATGTCTACTTTAATTTTTGCTTTTCTTAAATCTTCGGATTATACCGGTAGATTAAGCATGTAACTACATAGCCTACAAGTCTTTGATCAGTGACAGAGTAAATAATTTGTTTTTGACACTATTGTTTTAGTTTCCTCAATGCTTTTTTCTTTTATTGGGTTTTGAGTGTGGTGTTATAAACTGCATACATTTACGCTTGTATTTTGAACTGATCCAACATACTTTCCATTTTCTAAAGGTTATGAGTTCTTTACACCACAATAAATAAATAAAACATTGACACGATTCAAACTTTGTTTTACTTCTCTTTGAACGAAGTGATTTCTCTTCCAATCGACACTAATTAGAGCCTCACCTCTACAAATTGACACTTATTAGAGCCTCACCTCTGCCAATTGACACTTATTAGAGCCTCACCTCTACAAATTGACACTTATTAGAGCCTCTCCTCTACAAATTGACACTTATTAGAGCCTCACCTCTACTAATACATGTGTGTTCTCATTTAAACAGAATTATTTTCATTGCTTACTTGAATGTTCTGATGTTTGTTCTTAGAAATGAAATGGAAGAGTTCAGTCAATTAGAAGACCCAAAGTGGTCTAGTTACTGCATGGAATATTTGAAATATGATTTTCAATACCAAACATTTAGCTGGCTAACTAAAACACTTGTTACAAGTACATTTAATTTGGTCAAGAACCCGAGAACTAGCTTTAAGTAGAAATCATCATTCTGGGTTCATGTTATTTTGTGATATCAAAATCTTACAAACAAGATAGTATTGTAAACAAGCATCACCAGTATTGTTTAGTTAATGGGAGCAAAGTTTCTTAGAAATAAAAAGTAGTATTAATAAAGAGCATTCTTATTTTATTTCCACAACTTAAAACTAATAAGATAGATTTACTAATATTTTACAGGCCAAATCTTTCAATTTAGTTCACTTACAATACTGGTTCCAATAATATTTTTAAAAATGTAATATTCATATGAACATTTCAATAGAGTGAAAGACCATAAAACAAAAGTTGTAAGTAGATAATGCATGATTTATTATCAACACAAAACAATCTTTGCCCTGGTCAAGAGTGACAAAGTACATGACAATAATGCATGCAGCACATAACATAAGTCAACTCTTTCTAGAGCAAAGTAACCATGCAACCAAGTAGTGCTAGAGTAGAAAAGGTTGATACATTATTTACATTTTGTGTTGATCCTGTTTAGATATACATTTATACAGTGACAAAATAGAAAGTAGTTTATGAGAATAGCTATTCTTATAAGTTTATTAAATAGAATATATTAATAGAATAATATTTTTTTTTTGCATTTTAATAAATGAATGTTATAATTAGAATCATTATATAGATCAGAATTGCATACGAACCCAACACTCATTGTCAACAGTGCATTAATCAAAAAAATTCTTTAATGTAACATTGCCTACGAAACCAAACATTCGTCAAATCAACAGTATGTAAAAAAAAAAAAATCACCAAGTCAACAGTGCCTAAATAACAAATATCCATCAAGTGAAAATTAATTTGTCTTCATTATGAAGAAGCTGGTGATCACGGTAGGCATCAGGATCTGTAAAGAATTCATCACATAAGTTACACTTGGTAGTGGTGTGGATTCTCTGGTGGTTCACTAGCCTGTGCTTCTCTATAAAGGCTTTGCCACAGTCTCCACATTTGAATGGCCTAACATTATCATGTATCTTTTTATGCCTTATTAACTTGGACTTTTCTAGAAAATTCTTACCACAAACCTCACACTTGTGAGGCTTGTCTTTGCTGTGTGTTTTCTCATGCCTGTTCAGCACAAACTTTTCTAAAAATTCTTTCCCACACTCTAAACACTTGTGGGATTTCCCACTTGTGTGTGCCCTTTTATGTCTAGCCAGACGAAATCTATCGACAAACCCCTTCCCGCAATCATTGCACTTGTGTTGCTTCTTACAGATGTATGGGACTTTTGATTTGGCATAGGTTTCAATCAACTGAGAAAAACTTTCATTCCTTTTTTTAGTTTCATCCCTAATTATATGTCTACTTCTTCTGTGCACAATGAGGTCTAACTCAAGCTTGAAACTTTTGAAACAAATATCACAAGTGAACCACTCTTCACCATTGTGCATGGACTGGTGTTTGGTCACATGCTCAGACTCGGAGAAAAATAAATCACAGACATCACACTTGAACTTCATTTTATCTGGGGAATATCGTTTGTGCTTCCTGGTGTGTACCAGAAGCTTATCATTTCTGGAAAAGCCCTCCCCACACAAGTTGCAAATGAAGGGCTTCTCACCAGTGTGTAACATTCTGTGCCTGTTAAAACTGTACGTCTTGATGAACACTTTGCCACACACATCACATTCTTTAGGCTTTTTGGCAGCATGTCTCTCCTTGTGTCTGATAAGACTCAAAGAGCCTTGGACTTTCTTATAACAAATATCACATTCAAAGGTAATGTTATTGATTTTCTTCTTGCCTGTTTTAACACTGGGCAAGAGGGAACCATTGATAATTGCTGCTGACATTTCATCAACAGGTTCAATTTTGATAAGGCTAGGATCAATGGTAACAGAGTTATCAGGTTGAACAGATTGATCATTCAGGTAATTGTTAAGGTTTGTGGTCTCATGATGTGACCTAATGTGCACTTTGTATTTATCTTTCCTGTTAAATGTCTTGTCACAAAGATCACACTTAAATGGTTTTTCCCCAGTATGAATGAGCTTATGACGGTTGTAATTATAGGTACCTGCAAAATAATTGCCACAAATTTCACATTTATAAGGCTGTGTTGAAAGCTTTTTACGTTTGCGCCAAGTTCCAGGTGTAGATGACAGGTCACCATAAAGGTGGCCAAGTAATGAGTGAGGAATGTTGTCATCTGACTGTGTATCTACTGAACAAATTTTACAGTCCTTAAACGAGCCTGGAGTGTGTGTCAAACCACAGCTGCCAAGTGCCCAACTATCCTCACCAATTACATCACCATCAATAATTTCTGATTTAGGATTATCTCCACTATAATAACACTGGACAGGGGAAATGTTAGGGTAGGGAGAAACCTGGTGGTCATTTGCCAGGTCTTCATGACAACTGTTTTGCATGAACTCATTGTGACGCTTATAAAAATCTCTGGACCTTTTCTTAAGTCTGCCATTAACATTCACTTTTACTACTGTATCACCAAATTCATTGCTGATGTCATCACAAGAAATATTGGGGTTGAGAGTCATGATGTAGTGGCGCTCATCAGAAGAATAAGCCGTCTCTTCATTTTCATTAACTTCACGTTTAATCAAAACATTATTGAATGTATGCTTCTCTAGATCATCATTAGGTAAAGAATTGGGTTTGACTCCATTGCGAATTTGACATAAAACTGCTGAATTCTTTCTTTGAATGATACCTGATTCATGCTTGTCCAGCTCTTCTAGGACAATGTCAAGCTCCTTCCTAACATCACAGTACTCTCTCCTGATCTCTTCATACTTCTTCTTCAATATGTCATGCTTCAACTTGATTTTAAAATACTTCTCTCTGATCTCACGAACCAGATCATCTCCTTCAGGCAGCTGCTCAACCTCAGCCTCCATCTTATTTCAAGTTCTCAAGTCTGGCTCCATCAGCAAACAGATGTTTTTGTTCTCTCTATTACATTTACTCATGCCTTTGATGACCCAGTTTTTTCCTAAAAAAAGAAAAATAACAAAAATTACATTTAACATTCATTTTTTTAAATACAGATATCTAGAGCTACAATGTCATTCATGACAAAAATGACCATTGAAGTATTCTGACAAAACTTAATTAACTTTTAGGGTTAGGTAGAAGCTTTAATACACGACTCTGCCAAAGCTGAAGATTTCAGACAGAAATTCTATTAATTTTTTTTTATATTTTAAATACATGATCTTATTAAGAGAAGGAGGGTTTGTAACCAAACGAAAATGTTTTTAAACCTAATCTACTACAATAGAGGTGTGTTCTGAAGTTCTGATAGAAAGAGAGAATTTTGTACTTTGTGAATGTTTCTGCCGCAATATTTAAAAAAAAATTCAGGAGAAACTTTTTGGTATTGTGCATTGAAAGTCATTACAACTGTAACTATATAGTTTTTCAATTATAAATCTATTTTTAATCATTTCAATAGCAATTATTATAAGGCAAACTGGTGCTAAAAATAAGCCTCTCAAAATCATTATTCTTAGTTTTGAAAGAAAGACTCAATTAGTATCAAAAGTTTAAAGTATAAGTGACTTGTGCAATAGTATTAAACTGAATGTATATTTAACTAAAATTTAGAAGTGAATTGATCTGTTTATGTTTAAAAAAAATGGCAAACGAATTCTATGGCATATCATTATATAATAACTTTGCCTAATAAGTATAAAAAAGTGACAGTCTTGATGCTAGGATATTTTGAGAAGAGCTGGGAATAAACAATACTGTCCTACTCAATGGCGCTACTTACTTGTTAAGGACAGATTGGTTTATGGTCACATAACAGTCTCACACTCACTAGACAATAAATGCGATTGAGCATTATCTTGCTTCCATTTGTTTGGCTTTGACTGCATTCTAGTAGCGCTTTAATAAAAATTAGCAATTTGTATAATGAATAACAATTAAATACATAATAAGTTATATTTGATCATAGAGGTAGTATGTTGTAATGGTTTTGGTGGAGGATTTGTTTAGCCTGAGTGAAATAGACATGCTTATAATTATTACTATTTCTATTAGTTGACTAGATTGTCTATAATAGTCTCTAGCTAGATCTAAATCTAGATATCTAAGTACCAAATCTAATAGTTTATAATACTAATAGATCTAGATAGATTACTGAGTCCTGACTCACTGACTGTCAATATATAAAATTATTAAATAAATAATATATATCTAGATTAGTATAGATCTATACAATTGACCCACTGACTAGAATGAATAGAATAAACTGAATAAACTAGAATGATAGTATTACTAGAATCTAGAATTTTAGAGTCTAGAAATATAGATTTAATATACAATAGATCTAGACAATCTATATCATATATGACTATACTATAGTGTCTATAGTATACAGTATACACTAGACTATATATGATCTAGATAGTAGACAATGTAGATCTAGTCTAGTAGACCCTGAATCTACTAAGTCAGACGTAGTCGTTAGTCTACTCAGTAACACTAACAGTACAACACTATGACTAACATTAGTAACAGTTAAACACTTTTTTTTAACACAGAATAGTCAGCAGTACTTGATTTTAAATATTCTTTCAATAATAATATTTAATTTAATAATTATAATCTAAAATAAAGATCTCATCAACTAGACTTCTTTAAATATAGTAGTAAAAGTTACAGACAAGATCAATATCTTAATCAAGAAATCTTGATTCTA